GAGTTGGGAGTGGGGGGGCGGGTTCATCAGTGGGACTGATGGATAGCCCTTCATCAGAGCTAAACAACAAAAGTCTGAAACTCCTGTGATGAATATTTTTTGAGTTAAACATTTTGTATGTCCAGACACCCCTTCTTTAGATGGAGCCCCCTCCTCAAATATGGGGTCTATCATAAAACCGTTGGCTGGCGCAGTGTAGGTCAGACTCATCTACAGTCCTGCCAAATTTCATGTTGACCGGTGCAGCCGTTTTTGTGGTACGGTTGACCAAAAATCTCTGGAGAAAAATAAAAAACAGTACGAAAACAATATGACTCCCACTTACGCTTCGCATGCGGACATAATTACCTTCTCAGAATGTCTCCAAGTTTAGCAGAGGCCTGTCGATCACTCATCTGTTTCAGTCAGGTGTGTTGAAGCAGGGAAGCCTTTAAAACGTCGAAGACATCCAATCTAGATGGATTTCAATACAAGTACCACCTGTAGGTGGGATCGTCACACTGCTGTCATAATATCCATCTGCTAATGGGTAAATAAGTAAAGAAAAAAGCTACAAAACACCATTTTCTGCCACATTTTCCAAAATATTTGGCCAGGGTCGAGGCTCTCCATACAGGATGTCTTCCTTCTGCCGTCCTCCATGCAGTTCACATGTCCAAGTCAGCGTAGATCTCTGCTTGAGGAGTGTGAACACTGATCCTGGTTGAACACTTTGTCCCTCCACAAAGATGCAGAGTACACAGTGAAGGCAACCTGTGAGCCTCATTTCTCACCAGCGTTTAGGAGTGTGTTCACCACACAAGCCCTGCACTTTGCACACTTTGTGCTCTTTTGGCTGGTTGCAGCTGCTGAGCTTCTCTCTCCAGAGACAGTTCTGGAGGTGATTGAGCCAAAGAAGTGGGGGTTCACGAAAGGTCTCAGGTTTGTGAGATTTAATGTTAATATGAGGTGGAACGTCCACATCCTGACCCATAACATAGCTCTTTTGGACACTAAAGGTTCATTATTACACCTTACTTTGTGGTTGTCTTTTCATAAATGACCACATGGTGTCATCATTCAAACAGAAAAATTTTTTATTTCATCCCTCAGGAGAAGAGATGGTTTAACTTTATCAGTATCAGATTTTAAAATTAGTTCTTGTATCGCTGCTGGTTAAAATAAATACTTTGTTCACTGATTTTACTGCTATTAAACAACCATAATATAACCTGCATGTTTAACAATAAACACTTTTTTTCAGATTAAATTATTGTTTTATTTCTTTGTTTCTTTGAAGACAGAAATGACCTAAAGGTGTCAACAACATGACATTATATACATGTTTAAAACATGACAGGACAGAAGATTTGTTAGATAATAAAAGTTCAAACTGTTATAAAATGACCTCAGAGGACAAATAAACCTTTGTTGTGTCTGAGCAGCTGAGTGCAGCTAAATGTTGATAAGTGTTTACAAAGCTGTGGTTCCTCCTTCATGTTCAGAAAGTTGACAGACTTCATGCTCAGATGCCTCAAAGCAGCTGGAACTAACTCATACACTTTCTCTAAAAACAGTTAAACAAGTTAGCGGTGAGTATTTTAGTTACATAGAAGCTAAAAGAAGCTAAATGTATTACTTTGATAAAATGTAAACCTTCAGTTTGAACATTGACTCAAATTTAAAGGGATCCCTGATTAGTTGTAACATTAGACTTTATTTAATAAACATGTACTTTAACTGTTAAATAAAGACTGTAAAAATACTGTAGGATGTTTAGGTTTTAAAATTTTTAAACTAAAAGTTTAAAATTGAATTATACAGACGGGGCCATTTTATTTACACGCAAAGCATTCTGGGTAAATGATGACGTGGATAGGTCATC